GCAAAACAAAACAAATAAAAGAACACTGTTGGGGGTTACACTCCCAACCTCAAATTATCCTGTGGAGCCAGAGTGACAAAGACTGCCTGGAACTGGCATAAAATAGAAGGAAAATCAAAGGCATAGAGTAGAAATCCTGAAATACAATGACAAAGCTGTGTGTATTTGAGTTTCAACAAAGAATACAAAACACATATTGGACAAAGAGTCCATTCTACACATGATGCAGCAACACTGTCTTTTTTTAACCTGAGAAGATAAACTTAGATTCTCACCTTTCACCTTGTACAAAAATAAACTTGAAGACAGCAAAGACCTTTTTAAGTTCAAGACTTGAAACACCCAGAGTTCAAGACGACTTCCTAGGGGGTAGAGCAGAAACGCAGAATAGGACAATACTACAGGAGCTCATTGGGCCATGCATCAGCATGAAGATAAAGTCTCTTGACAGCACAGGACACAATCAGCAGAGGGGACAGACGTCACAGTAGGAGAAACCTCTACCAGCTGAGCTTCAGACAAGGGACTAGAGCCCTCAGTTTTCAGAGAAGTGCAGAAACTAAACACCAAGGATCTAACATTGTGAATCATCCAATGGTCGAGAGAACTGAATAGACAGTTGTCTTAACAAAAGAAAAAGCAGAAATGTCCACTAATATGTTTAGTGTTTTCAGTATCTCTAGCCTTCATGAAAATGCAGATTAAGCTACTTTGAAGGCTGGAGAGTTGGCTCAGAGGTGAGGAGCACTTGATGCTCTTGCAGAGGACCTGGTTAGATGCACTGTGTGTGACTCCAGGCCCAGGAAATTGCATATCCTCTCTGACCCCAGACACCAGGTACAAGTTTGGTGCTGATGCACACGTGCAGGCAAAACATTCATCCCCACAAAAGAATGAAATAAAATGAAAGTTAAAACTGCTTTGTGAATGCACCTCACCCCAGTCAAAATGGCTATGACCAAAAATGTAATCTGACAGCAAATGCTGGAGAGGACATGGAGAGAAAGGAGCCATACTCACTCCTCTCTCTGTCTCTCTCTCTGTCTCTGTCTCTCTGTCTCTCTCTCTGTCTCTCTCTCTCTCTCTCTCTCTCTCTCTCTCTGTCTTTGTCTCTCTCTGTCTCTGTCTCTCTCTTTTCTCTGTCTCTGTCTCACTCTCTCCGTGTGTGTGTGTGTGTGCAAATTAATACAGTCATTGTGGAATCATTTTCGATATTTTCTTAAAAATTAATCACAGCACTCCCATATGACCCAGCTATATTATTCCTTGCCCAAAGTCCACACCCTACTGGTGAGATATTTGCAGTGCATGCTTAATGTTCATTTATTCACTAAAAATGGATTTAATCCATCAGCAGTTGTGTAGATAGTGGAAATTTGGTACACATGTAAAATGGAATACTACTCGGCTCTAAACAGTGTAATCACAAAATACACAGGAAAATGCATGAACTTAGCATGCAGTACATTAAGTGAGGTCACAAGTCTCAGAATGCAAAACTACGTTGTTTTTCCTCAGATGTAGCCAACAATATATGTGAGTAAGTGTACATATGTGTACAGTGTAACATGACCAAAAGACAACAAGAAAGGATAAATATTGGGGACAAGGAAGGACTGACCACAGGTACTGAATTTTGAAACATGCCCCCGAGGGCAGGGGGCGGAGTGCCCTGGGAGCCTGCACCTGTGCACAGCAGCTGCTCCTTCCCATTCTCCAGGTATCTGCGGAGCCACTGCATGCATGCGCCCTCCAGGTAATTCCTCCATTGCTCTGCAAAACCAGCCTGCTCCCACTTGTGCTTGGTGATCTGCGCTGCTGTGTCCGCCGCCGTCCACGTCCTCAGGTCGTCATTCAGGGAGATGTAATCGTCGCCTTCGTAGGCGAACTGACTGTACCCGCGGACGAGGCGCCCATCTGGCCCCGTTTGACAGCCATACATATTCTGGATGGTGTGAGAGCCTGCGGGGACCCCGTGGTAAGCTCCGCCCATCCATCCCTCCCCTCAGCCCTGCCCGCCCGCTCCTGAGGCCAAGCTCACACTTGGAATTCTCTTTACTGACAGAGAATGTTGGTCCCTGTCCCTGCCATAGAGTCTTTGCGGGTGCATGATTTTGGGCTTGAGACACAGGGCGACTCTGGCTGGTACATATAGGGACGTGGAGGAGTGTTGATCTCTGACCCGGGGCCACTCACCGCCCTTGCTCTGGTTGTAGAAGCCAAGCACCGCCCTCAGGTTCCCTCGGTAAATCTGCTCAGTGTGTTTTATGATCCGAGTCTCCCTCTCCCAATAATCCGGCCCCTCCCGCTCCATCCACGGCGCCCGCGGCTCCATCCTCGGATTCTCTGCGTCGCTGTCGAAGCGCACGAACTCCGTGTCGTCCACGTAGCCGACCACAATGAACCTGGGATCCCCGAGGCCGGGCCGGGACGCGATGGTGATGAAATACCGCATGGAGTGCGAGCCTGGGGGCGGCGCCTGGTGAGACCCCGACCTCCTTCCGGGACCCCGGGCAGGTGCGCGGCCAGGAGGGAGCTGGGCGCGGGGCTCGGGACGCGGGAGGGGAAGGGGCGGGAGGGTCTGGCCGGGAGATGCGGGGCCACGGCTTCCCCGGTGCCGCCCCCGCCCTCCCCGCAGACGCCGTTTCCCTCCCGACCCCTCACTCACCCGTGCATGTCTGGGTCGGGGCCAGGGCGGCTGCCAGCAGCAGGAGCAGCATGCGCGGCACAGTCGCCCACATCTCGGATCTGGGCATTCGCGTTCCCCGCGCGGACTTTTTACGCTGATTGGTTCCCCGGGATCTCGACAGCCAATAGGAGTGCGAAACGCCGAGTCGTCATCAGTGTCCGGGCAGAAGGAGCTAACACAGGTCAGGAGCTGGAGAAGTGAAACTGGGGACATGGGAATCCCCAGAGCTGGGCTTCTCCACCCGGACCTCACCGCCGGACCAAGACTTTGTCTGACCCTGAGCTGCGGACAGAGCGCGTTTGTCCCGGGGTCTCTGGGCCGCCCAAGGCCACCTGCTCCTCGGGTCAGGATGAAACCTAAGAGCATGACGTTTGCGGGTGAAACACAGGCAGCATTAAAATGAACGTTCACGAAAACAGACTCTGTCACAGTCCTGGTGAGTGCTTGGGGCCTCCATGGACACCTGCAAGGGAGGTGACTGGAGTTTTCACAGCTCTGGTCAAGCCCTTTGGACACACTGTGTCATGTGTGACTCCGTGCAGGAAGGACTCTCTACCCTCCTCTGCTTTCACTTTCTACTTCAGTTATGTGTGGCTGGGGTTTGGAGACATCAATCACAATCCACAGAAACGAAAAAAGTCATAAATTAGATTTGTCTCCACACTACTGAACAGTGATGAAACCTAGAATCCCCAGTGTGTACCTCTGCCATGAGAATCACCCTCCGTCCAGTGTCCACACTGCACAGGCTGAGGAACCCAGGAGCCACGGTTACCAGGTCCAGGGTCTCATAAGTCTGGATAGTTACATTTAGTTACAGTTTCTCTCTTACTGGGGTTTATTCACTAAATAACCATGGAAGTACCCTGGAAGTGTGTGGACACGGGGAAATGTGCAGTGTAGACAGGGATCGCTGTGATACTGTATTCTGTCTCCACCAGATCTTTGTCCCAGTGGGGAAGGGGTTCCACTGTGCTGAGACGATGACCCAGGTCCACACAGACAATCTGAGGACTATGGAGTGAAGATCCGTGTAAAACACAACCACCTGGAACCACAGACGGTCATCTGGGAAGAAACACTAGGAGTCTGAGTGTAAGCACAAGGCTGTGAAGACTGGATCCTGAGTGATGAGCAAAGTCTCTATTTACAGGGGAGATTCCCGAGCACCAGGCTTGGCAGTGTGAGCGCCCCCTGCAGGTGGACACAGGAGCCTGGTGTCTGTGGGAGTCTGTGTGGTGCTTGCAGGCCAGGGCCTCTGCTTTAAAGAGAAATCATCTCTCCCTTGTATCCCGACCCTAGTGTTGTTGCCATTGTGTTCCTGGAATCGACTTTTCTTCTGGAAGTTCCAGGTTTGACATCTGGTGAGAAGGAAGAGGAAGGGTGAGGAGAGGACAAATTGTTTTGGGCTTTGAGTCTCTCCTGGTGTTTTTGTTTTGTTTTTCAGGCATGGTCTGCCGCTCCACTGTGGCTGTCCTGAAACTTACTGTGTAGACCAGACAGACTTGCCTTGAACTCACAGAGATACACCTGTCTTTTAATCCCATGACCTGGGATTAAAGGTTTGTGTCACCACACCTGGCTTTAGTTATTTCTATGGCTGTGATAAGACACCATGACCCCCACAAACTTTAAAAGGGACATGTTTCACTTGGTCTTAAGTTTCCAGAGGGTTTGAGTCCATGGTGGCAGAGGAAAGGAATGGTGGCTGGAGCAGCTGAGAGCTCACATCTTGATCTGCAAGCTTCAGAGACACTGGGAACAGTGGGAGTCTATTAAAACCTCAATGCCCACCCCAGTGACACACCTCCTCCAACAAGGCCACACCTCCTGATCCTCCCCACACAGTTCCATCACCTGGAGCTGAAGTGTCTGAACCTGTGAGCCTGTGTGTCCATTCTCATTCAAACATCCCAGCATGCAGTGTGGAGTGTGAGATGCCCTGCAGGGTTCTGCAGATGTGTGCATGTGATCTCTAGACAAACACCCTCAACCAGGAGGACTCCACTGTGTTAGGATCCCCCCTTTCTTCTGTCACCTCCTGCTCAGCCCTTCTCTGTCCCTCAGGCCTCACCCCATCAGTGCCCAGCACCCCTCACTCGAGCTCTGCACTAACCCTGCCTCTTCCTTTGCCTCCAGTTTCTGTGGTCAGCCATCTTGTCAGCTGTCTTGCCGTGAGCCAGGCTGTGCTGTTTCCTTCTGTAAAATTCCATCAGGGACTGGACAGATGGCTCACAGGTCATAAGCACCTGTTCTGTCCCAGAGAATTCGTGTTCAGTTCCTATCAACAACATGGTGCTTCACAACCATCTGGGACTGCAGTTCCGGGTGATCCAGTGCCTGGTGTACCTGCATACCTACATATATACACACATGTATGCATAATCTAATAAAATACAGACATCTAATGAAAATAAAATTAAAAATACATTGTGAAAAGTGCTCCAATGGCTCCCTCTCCTCTCCTACACATCTAGAGTGTGACACCCAGGCTGAGGGCACAGGGCTGTTTAGTTAACACTGAATCACCAGTAAGAGAAGGAAGAGCTGGAACAGGACAGGCATTGATGACTGAAAGACACTGCACTGAAATTAACATTAGCAAAACAGTGTAAAATTAAAAACAGAGGAAGATTTCATTTTATTGTCCTACTGTGCACAGTGGATCACTGTCTCACTCCAGAAAGAAGACACAGTGTGTGCTCATTTTTGCATTTTCACATTGGGTTGGTTTTTTTCTTCGAGACAGGGTTTCTCTGTGGCTTTGGAGGCTGTCCTGGAACTGGCACTTGTAGTCCAGGCTGGTCTCAAACTCACAGAGATCCTCCTGCCTCTGCCTCCCAAGTCCTGAGACTAAAGGTGTGTGCCACCAATGCCCGGCTTGTGTTGGTTTTTTAATTGCTGCTGAACATGACAAACTCCAGTCAACACTTGAAGGGTAACTGAAGAGATCATGACATCCCCAACATTCAGAAAGCTCCTGGAGCTAGTGATGCCCCCTGTCCTCATTTTCCCTCCCACTGCAGCCCCTCCAGGATCTCTCCTTTTTTTTTTTTTTTTTTTGGCTTTTTCGAGGCAGGGTTTCTCTGTATTGTTTTGGAGCCTGTCCTGGAACCTGCTCAGTAGACCAGGCTGATCTTGAACTTACAGGGATTCACCTGCCTCTGCCTCCCGAGTGCTGGGATTAAAGGCGTGGGCCACCAATGCCCAGCTGAGGATCTCTCCTTTTTAAAATCAAAGAGAAGCATATTAGAGTCTAGGGCAAGAGCCCCACCTAGGGACAAAAATCAAGACTCATCTGAGTCCACATAGGATACAGCTAAAGGGGGACCATGGCTGGCTGAGCTGCCCACAGGCTCCTGTCTATACACATCCAAGGGTCTTGGGTCTGAGGCTGTCCTGCCCTTGTCAAACTTACAGCCTGATGGAACTTCCCATCCCTTTCCACCTGTGAGATAAAAACACTTTGTAAGAGGTTGGGGAGGAGGCAGAGCCACGAGGGCCAAAAGGAGTCGAAAAGCTTGGAACCAGGGAAGTGTCCAGAACTCTGAAACAGACTGTGACATGTATTCTTGGTTGTCAACCTGAGCACATCTGAAATGAACAAAACTGAAAAATGGAGGACATACCTGTGAGGGACGTTTACTTAATTTGAAGGCAGAAGGTCAATTTCTGATCTGTGACTTTGAGGTAGGAAGACATACCGTTATTCCAGATCTTTTGAGCTAGAAAAACCCACTTCTAGTCTGGGTCACACCTGCTGGAAGGCAATGCAAGGATGTGGAAGAAGGGAGCTTTTGCTCTCTGCCTCCTAGACCTCACCTCACTAGCAGGTCCATTCCTTCCCTGGCAGTAGAGCCGACTTCTTCAGCATCCAGCATATACTGAGGACCAGCTGAGACATCCAGCCTGGTGGGCTGACTGAGCAACTACTTGGTTTTTGGACTTTTTATTTATAGTCAGACATTGTTGGGTTAGCTGGACCACAGCCTGTAATTCATTCTAATAAACTCCCTTTCTATAGATAGATACACAGATGCATAGATAGATACATAGCTAGATAGATTCAGTCTATCAGTTCTATTACACACGAGAATCCTGACTGTTACAATGACCCAGGAAAAGCAGAGGAAACACTGGGATGTGATGGGGGGAAGAGAACCAACTGTCTTCCTGGAGAACTGTCCTCAGTGAACATCTATCCCTCCATTCTCTGACTGCTGTGACCCAAGACCCATCTCCACCACTGTTGGGGTCACGAGTCTGTCCTGCCTCCTCTCATGTGCTTTACAATAAAGTGTCTGCAAGCAGAGCCCCAGGCTGGGCGAGCATTGTGTGGGATGCTACACTCACAATCCTGAGTCCCCCTCCTTAACACCAGAGACTCAAATATTTAAATTTCTTAAGACCAAGCTCTCCAAATCATAAAATCCCCAAAGTCACAGTCCTGTCCCCTAAACTAAAATACCAAATGTTTAAATCGGGAAAATCAAATTCCCCATGAGCAGAGTTCCCATGGTGTGGAGGGTGTCACTGTAAGAAGGGAGAAAACCAAGTTCTAGGAAAGCCTTGGCCGCACAGTGCAGCTCCTGTAAAAACCTTATAAACACTCATCATCCTCTACCGGGTGTTTCTCCCAGCTGATGAAGGCCCAGAGCCTTGGATGCACCAAAACTTCCCTTGTCTGAAGACGCTGGTGAAGTTACTGTTGGCTGGGAAACAACTGAGTCTATAGCAGGCCCTTTGTGCACCTTCTGGCCCTGTGACGTCCAGAATGTTTCTGCCCAGTGTGTGGTCTGGATGTGAGCACGTGCAGAGTAGATTCCCTCAGACCCAAAGCACGGGAAGCCTGGCACAGCAGATGGGAAAGGTGGGTGGGAGCTCACTTCAGGGTGTGTCACCTTACAGGAGAACTTGATAAAGACCATTATCATAGAGAAAATTACCCTGAGCCTGTGGTCTGGGGAGAGCCAGGTGCTGAGAGAAAACACCCCTGATACTCAGGACAACCTGAGACTTGAGAGTGCAGTTCATCACCCTGGAGGTCTGCTGACTCAGCATGTTTGCTCTTATTGGCAC